TTAGGCTAGCCCACAAACATGACTGTGAGCCAAGAGCCTACCAGCATTGTTCATCTTTAAAGGTCTTCACTTTTCTTTTGGACAACTCCTCTTCAGGTTTTAAATAAGGAGCAGATAATGTGCAAAATACAATTATTTCATGGGTATAGAATAGCCCCATCCAGAAAGCAATGAGCCATAGAAGGAGATGCCCTGCTGACCATCTTTGCTATTAGTCACATTGGTTTAAAGTCTCACAGGTTTTATGAGGATAGAACAGAAAGAAAACCTTCCCATAAGAAAGAACCCAGAGGGTGGATACTATAATAATGACAAGTGTCCATAATCATACAAAATGTTCACATTTCATACAGGCATAACAAATGAGTTCATCTGCACCTGGCCAAATGACAGGGAGTTTAATCTCGAAGTGGACTATAGCTCCAAACACTTGTGAAGTGAATTCACCTAAAATCTTCACTTACCAGATTATTGTCCCACTTAAAAATTTAATAGTTTATTAATTAATGTAGAAACTACTGCTGCAAGCTCTCATCTTTAGAAGAGGGACTGTTATTTTTCTTGATATTCTTCTGCATTCAAAATAACTTGTTTTGTCAAGGACGTGTTATTTGGTCGTAGGGTATATTTGGCATCTACCAAAATTAATCTTTTCTTAAGACTGTTCTTTGTTGTATAGTTCCTTATGTCATCAAACAAACAAGAATCTCTATGAATAGACTGAATCAAGTCCACCATTAGGTTTCCTTTGAAAACAACTCTTTGCCATAATCATCATAGTTATTTAGTGACCTTCTACCAAGTGCTCTACCCTCATTACTTCATGTAACCCTGCAGCGCAGATGGTATCTCAGCTACTTTTATGAAGGGGACTAAAGAAAGAATAACAAAACATGTCCCAGCCATGTGAGTTACTGCCTTCACCTCAGCCAGGCTTGGTCATTCTCAACTTGCCTGCTAACACACCTTGACTGAAATTCAAGGCTCCGGAACCAGGTTAAGGGAGATGTTATGTGTGGATACAGGAGGAGGCACCTGGGTGTGAGGGAAGAGCTCTGTCTTCTGACTCTCCAATCCCCCACCCCCACCTTAATCTGTGTCAGGACCACGCTGAGTTGTAGATTCCTCAAGCAAAGTGAAACTAAAGCCACCTACCCCATGGCCTCCCTGCCAAGGCTGGGGGCTGGCACAAACGGAGCTGTAGTACAGTTTATTTAGTGCCTCTATGCCCAGCAGACCATATTACCTAGGCCCCAGCACGAGTGGGGAAAAAAATCTCATCTTGAAGGGACCAGTTTCTATTTCTCATGGCAAACCCAGCATGGGAATTCCTTTTGTCCCGAAGACCTCCCTGTCCACACTACTCACCAACATGCCTGGGCAAGCCTGATGCTCTCTATGCCCATCTCCCTTTCACCAATGAGTTCCCATCTCTTTCTCAAAAAGTAGATGCCCCTCTGGTGTTCCTGCCACCACCAGTAACTGAAAAACAAACTAGAACACTGTGCTCAGCAGGTCAGCCAGACTCCTGGAAATGCACACTGGAGTTTCAAAAAGATGAAGATTTCCTGGAGGATTTTGTGGTGTTTTGGAGAGTCCCTCTGGGCAGATCACACACTGTGACAAATTCTTTCCAAATTATGATAATTCAACCACACCTTCTACAAAGAACTGACTTTTCACACTTAACCATCGGTGGTAGCTGCCCATGTTCATTTTCCCCCAAATCTTGAAGAGAGTTTGGGATTATGATACCAAGACAAATGCATGGTTTTCTGAACACTGCTCCTATTCCGCTCCTATTCCATGGTGCCTGTGAACTGACAAGCAGGCACAGACAGGAGATAAGGGAACACTACTGATGGTTACACTGGCATTGGAAGCCGTTTGGCACATCCAGCCCAAGGAATGCATCCCACCCCTCCCACCCCCCACAGGTGTCAGAGGGAAAAAAAAACAAATAGTTGGACAAGAAGTAGAAATGTCACACTGTAGTCTAAATTGCATGGCCTTCTGTTAGCAGTTTTATGCTTTGCCCTTGAAATTCTTTTCTTTAATCACAGATTCTCATTATAGGGAAGGAGACATTGGGTGGGAAGGAAGAAAGAGAAACTTCATATAAAAAAATTACCTCATCAGGTAATGCTTAAAAATCTTTTAACTAGAAGGCGCCTGGGTGGCTCAGTTGGTTAAGCGACTGCCTTCAGCTCAGGTCATGATCCCAGAGTCCTGGGATCGAGTCCCGCATCGGGCTCCCTGCTCTGCGGGGAGCCTGCTTCTCCCTCTCCCACTCCCCCTGCTTGTGTTCCCTCTCTCGCTGTGTCTCTCTCTGTCAAATAAATTTTAAAAATTTAAAAAAAATAAAAAAAAATCTTTTAACTAGATATTCACATGAAAAAAAGGGGGGGGGGGGCGCCTGGGTGGCTCAGTCGTTAAGCGTCTGCCTTGGGCTCAGGTCATGATCCCCGGGTCCTGGGATCGAGCCCCACATCGGGCTCCCTGCTCAGCAGAAGCCTGCTTCTCCCTCTCCCACTCCCCCTGCTTGTGTTCCCTCTCTAGCTGTCTCTCTCTGTCAAATAAATAAATAAAATCTTTAAAAAAAGGAAAAAAATAAATGAATCTAGACACAGACTTACACTTTCCAAAAAAATTAATTCAGAGCAGATCATAGACCTAAATGTAAAATACAAAACTATAAAACACCTAGAAGACAACATGAGATAAAATCTAGGTGACCTTGGGTTTGGTGATGACTTTACAACACCAAAGGCATAATCCATGAAAAAAAAAATAAGCTGTACTTCATTAAAACTAAAAATCCTTTAACTGGGGACAAAATGTTTTGTTGTACAAATGAAGTTGAAATGTGAATTCCTATCTTAAAAAGATAATGTTGAAGTTTAAAATCATACTAAATAGGAGAGCCTGGGTGGCTCAGTTGGTTAAGCATCTGACTCTTGGTCTCAGCTCAGGTCTTGATCTCAGGGTCATGAGTTCAAGCACGCTGGGTCCCATGCTGGGCATGGAGACTACTTAAAAAAATAATAATAAAAAAAATCATACTAAATATAAAAGACTAATGGGGGCACCTGGCTGGTTCAGTTGGTAGAGCATGTGACTCTTGATCTCGGCATCATGAGTTTGAGCCCCATGCTGGGTGTACGGATTACTTAAAAATAAAAAAATCTCGGGCGCCTGGGTGGCTCAGTTGGTTAAGTGACTGCCTTCGGCTCAGGTCATGATCCCGGAGTCCTGGGATCGAGTCCCGCATCGGGCTCCCGGCTCAGCGGGGAGCCTGCTTCTCCCTCTGACCCTATCCCCTCTCATGCTGTTTCTCTCTCTCTCTCTCTCTCTCTCTCTCAAATAAATAAATAAATACTTTTTTAAAAAATCATTTAAAAAATAAATAAATAAATAAATCTCCTAAAAAAATTTTTAAATAAATAAGATAAAATACTAATGGCAGATCCTTGCTCGGATCTTACTGTTTCATGGTTGTGGTGCAGGTAAGGCGAAAAGAAATGAGAACACCCTAACACAATTACTCATTTATAAGAAGACAGGAAGAAAAAATATTTGTGAAACATACAAGGAACAAAAACTTATCCTAGGGGGCGCCTGGGTGGCTCAGTCGTTAAGCGTCTGCCTTCAGCTCAGGTCATGATCCCAGCGTCCTGGGATCAAGCCCGACATCGAGCCCCGCATCGAGCCCCGCATCGAGCCCCGCATCGGGCTCCCTGCTCTGCGGGAAGCCTGCTTCTCCCTCTCCCACTCCCCCTGCTTGTGTTCCCTCTCTCGCTGTGTCTCTCTGTCAAATAAATAAATAAAATCTTTAAAAAAAAAAAAACTTATCCTACATATAACATGCTATTTCCACTTTACCATCTTGAACATATGCCTTCTCTGAGAGACACAATGATGGTTCAGGTGTTGAAATTAGATTAAATATTTCCTTGTTATCAACAGCCAAGGTCATCTCCGTAAGTCTCAGGTCCAACCCAGCATTCAGTTCACAGTCTTATATATTTTTGCCATTTAAAAAATTCAATTAATAAAAAGAAAAGAGATGTTTTAATATTAATGTATATGAACTCAGTATTTGACTCAAAAAATTTAGGAAAAAAATAAAGAGAAAAGAAATAAAGCAAAAACAAATTATAAAGAGAATCATGAAAGTAACAAATCCAAGAATTACTTTTTGAAAAATAACACTTAATAATAAATATAAGGAAACATCTAGCAAATGTAATTAAGAAAAGAAATACACAATGCAAAACATGAGAAATGGAATTAAGAACAGAAATCAAAATTAAAAAAAAAAAAAAGTGAAGTATGTAACCTTTGCTCACATTTATCAAAAACCATTAAAGAGATCTAGTTCCTATCCAGAGAGAAAACCGTTCTCCAAATTCCCTTCCTCTGGTCCGCAGTTTTCCAGACCACTCCAAAGCTCCCACTTCCCAAATACCTCAAAGTCTTCCCCAAATGTTTACCTCATGTATCTTTTTTCATATTTCTCCTCCCTCCCTCTTTACCATGTAGGGTTATCATGTAGAAGTCAGATCACCTTTCCCATTACTTGAATTCTCTACCACAAAGGATATTCCAGGAACTGATCCAGCATTCTAACCATTCTCCCCCCATGATTTGCAGGTCTCATTTGCTCTCCCCTCTTCTCCTGATACTTCATATCAGAAGTCTGGGTTCCAGGACACAAAGCTTTCACACATGAATCAATCTATAGAACTCACCCCCATCCCATCCATCAAAAATGTTTCCTGGAGTCCAAGCAACATTGAAAGAGTAGCCCTCAGGAGCACCTGGGTGGCTCAGTTGGTTAAGCGTCTGCCTTTGGCTCAGGTCATGATCCCAGGGTGCTGGGATCGAGCCCCATGTCGGGCACCCCCTCCCCACTTGTGCTCTCCCTCTCGCAATCTTTTTCTCGAATAAATAAATAAAATCTTAAAAAAAAAAAAAAAAGAAAAAGAGTAGCCAAGAGGTTCATTCCAAGAACTCAAGGATGGTTCAATATTGGAATTTAATAGAACATGCCACATCAACATAACACTCAAGAGAAATTATGGGACCTCAGAGGCCGCTGAAAGACATTTATAAATACAATTAAGAAGTTGCTAGGACAACAATTTTGAACAAAATGTAGTTGACGTTTCCATAAAAGAGAGATTAAGGTTGGGGGCAAACAGAAAATCTACTTTTCTAGATCTAGTAACAGAGAAATCAAATCCAAAACTTGAATTACCTTCATTTGTGTCATCCTCAGGTCCAACTGAACCTGCTACAGCTTGGAATTTGGCCTTGCAGGATGTCTTTCTGCCTCTAAAGGGCTGGAGAACTGATTTGACTTACTAAAATTATTAGCCATTTTTTGTTTTATCAGCTATTAATATAGGTAACTGAATGTTAATTGCATTCCCTTGTGATCTATTACTTTAAAAAATAAAATCTGGGGTTTTTTTCACATTCCCAAATATATATTCACCGTGGCTAATTAGAAATCTGCACAATATAACAAAATTTAAATTACCTACCTTCTCACCATCCAAAGCCAACCACTAATTAACATTTTAGTATATTTTCTCCAAGCATGAATTTGGGAATATAAACACTCTTGGTGTTTAATAAGGACATAAGTTTGTCACTGGTGTTATAACAATAATTTCTGTGTCCCAAACCCCTCAATGGGACATCAGAGGCTACTAGATTAAAGAGTGTTAACAAATTCTCAGGGCAAAAGATTAAACACTTACCTGACCAAAGCACCAACAGCATTAGATGCCCTCCCATGGTAGTAGAGTGACTTTCTGTGTGTGGTTTTGAAAAAAAAAAAAAAAAAAAAAGCCCTACCAGATGGTTCAAAATAATCAGGGCCTACAGAATGCACATGCATGTGCATGTGTGCTCATATGTGCGTGCGTGCACACACACACACTCATCAGTTGAGAACCTCTGCCCTAGGAAATTCATGGATAATTGATTTGTTGAAAATGTTTGGAGAAAAAAGAAAATGTCTGGAGAGAGGGTCCATAGCTCTCACCAAATTCTCTGAATCTGTGACTCCTTCAAAATGTCAGAAGTCCCGGGGCACCTGGGTGGCTCAGTTGGTTAAGCAACTGCCTTCGGCTCCGGTCATGATCCGGCTCCTTGCTCGACAGGGAGTCTGCTTCTCCCTCTCCCTCTACCTGCTATTCTGCCTGCTCGTGTTCTCTCTCTCTCTAATAAATAAATAAAAAATCTTAAAAAAAAATGTCAAAAGTCCTGGCTTGTAAAATTCTTTCCAATTCTAATATTCTGGCACTATTTGAGGCTGGGGCATTTATTCTGCCTGCTTAGAAGACAAAAGTCTTAGAAGAGCTGGAGGACAGAAGTGAAGCTGGGTTCTTCTATCACAAGGAGGTTTTGAGGAAAGCCGACCCATGGAAAATGCACACATACCCCTTTACCGTCTCTGTGTATCATTTGTCTTGCTTTGACAGGGCTTCCTCTAATATCAAACCATCAAAGACTTGATAACTATGACAATGTAAAAATAACACCACTTTTCAAGGATAGGCCCAGAAGTGTCTGCTCCCAGGGCTACTCCCAGTTATACTTGTGATGAGAGCAAGAGTTACTAATCTTGGGGTCAAATTAAGGAACGAGAGGAAATGAACTATCATATTTTCAAGGCCTACCATGCATTTGACATGCTTCAAGACCCTCATCTGATAAATTTCAGACTCAGGTCTCAACCCTGGCTCTAACTAATTATAGAGTCTAACCTCAGAGCCAAACAGCCTCCCCTTAACAATCATGTATGTTTTGTATTCTTACCTATACCCTGGTTTTCTCTCAAACTTCTATCTTGATTAGGACATCAGTTAAACACACATCAGCCTTATTTAAAAAAAAAAAAACTTACATATTTTATTGTGAAGCATTGATTTTGAAACATAGAATGTGAAACTAAGCTTTGGATTAGAAAACAGATTAAGAATTTCTTGTTCAAATGCTGCCATCTGGCGGCCAAAGACAGTAACCCAAAAAATAGACCTCCCCTTGAAAAGATATGGAAAACCCCAATAGCCCTAATCACCTGGTTTGCTAGCAAACATTAAAATCTGGAATGTTATGTAGGAAAATATTATCTAGAACATTATATGAGAAGATACTAACATGTTTATGTTCCCCTAATTCTGATCCATATGAAATACTTTGTCCATAAACAATGGCAATAAGAGGTTTATTAAAGTGTTTCTAAAAGCCAAAGATGTAGCCTCACCAGACACACTTGACAGTTAAATTCAGCTGCAACAGAGAGAGTGCTGTTTTCTTCATGCTTTCAATGAAACATGAGGTTTCATTCACTCAACAAAATTTTATTGGGATCCTATTATGTTCCAGGTACACTGAATTTCACTGAGTACTCGATGGAGAACCAAAAAACAGCATCTGTTCTAGAGAACTTCATGGTCTGGTGAAAAAAATGGTCCCCGGCCTGTAAGGTTTGGCATCTGTACAGTACCTGGGCCTCAACCTCAGAGATGAGTATGGGCCAGAAGCTCCTGCCTGCAGGGTGCGCCTTTTTCTCATTCACGTTATCGGGACCTACTGTCTATCAGCTTCTCAGACAGATAATTCAGATAGGTATACCTAGTAGGGTCTCTTCCCTAACGCCTGACCAGCCAGAGGGACCACATTTTAGTATTTGACCTATTTCCTACCCTCTCTCTGTCATGAACATTTTCTCTTTTCTGGGTTCTTGAAAGCAAAAATTAGTTTCTGTTCCCTAGTCACTCCAGGTATTTAGTAACCCAGAGAATATTTGTGATACTGGAATTACTGTCCATAGTAGGTAAGAATCCAGCTGCTCAACTGGCTTTTCAGGCATCCTTCAAAGTCCTCTCCTCTGCCCTGGCTCTGACCTCCTATCTCCAGAACCCAGCTAAGGACAGAGCAGCAAAGGTTGATGGTCTACTGGTGAACCACAACATGGAGGTGCCCTAGGACCCTGGCAACTCCAACCAGCATTTTAAGAGTATATCCTATAGTTTCTGGGGAAATTTCTGCAAAAGGTCCTTGGCCAGTAACTAATCATTAAATTTGAAAATATGATCCAGTTTTTCTTCCAATCAAGGCAAACAATACAAGTCAGTAGTGGGGGCAGTGGATTGTGTCAACTTTTCAACTTGTAGCTGCCTTAAGTCCAGGACAGTTTGCCTCCTTTTCAGTCTTAGATCCCATGGTGACAGTGTAGGGCCAAAGGAGCTCCCAGCCTATGGGAATGATGTGTGCAGTCCACATGAGCAGTAAACAACTATTGTTTTGCAAACTGCTCCTCCCTCTTCCGTGAAATTCTAGTGTGGCCCTCCACCCCTCATCTCAAGATGGTCCTGTTACTTGAGATGGCCAGAGTATGCCATCCACCGAAGAGACACAGTGATTAGAGATGATTATGTGACCGAAGCAAAGAAGTCAGGGTGCTTTCTCTGCTTTGGCAGAAATGTGGAAGGGTTGGGCGCCTGGGTGGCTCAGTTGGTTAAGCGACTGCCTTCAGCTCAGGTCATGATCCCAGGGTCCTGGGATCGAGTCCCGCATCGGGCTCCCTGCTCTGCGGGGAGCCTGCTTCTTCCTCTCCCACTCCCCCTGCTTGTGTTCCCTCTCTCGCTGTGTGTGTTAAATGGTATCATTTAAACCCCTAGATTCAGCTATGCCCTTTGCCTCCCGCATGGGTCCAGAATCAGCATGAAGTGGGATAAATGAAGACTTCTTTAAAAACTTACTTTACAGGTTAATGCATGAGTGCAAAGAATTTCTTGCACTATTTAGAAAGCTCATCTGCCAATTTAGTCTGAAGGGGGAAAAAAAAGACCTTGAGGACAGAGCAATGGGAGCTAATCAGCTGATGGCTGAGGACTCAAATCTTAACAGGGAGGGACTTTAAATATAACCTAATCCAAGGCCCTGGTTTTAAATATGAAAAACCAAGACTGGAAGGGGGAAAGGGCTTGCTTAAGAGAATATTCACTAAGGCTTTACAGATCATATGGGGTTAGAGTTTGGCAGAGGAGACTAGGATTGAGTGCTGGACCACCCCAGTGCCTGGCCCTTTCATGTTCATGCTTGTTTAATCCTCAGTCAACCTGGGAGGTACATATTTTAGTTCCATTTGACAGATGATGAAATTGAGGCCAGAGAGGTTAAATGACTACCCTAGTGCCACACAGCTAACATGGAACAGAGCTGAACTTCCAATATAAGCCTAAGGTGATTTTTTTTTCTACTCTACATTTACATGAAAAAAATATTATGAGGCAGGACAGAAGCAAGTGGGACTTAGGAGAGCAGCTGATCCTTATTCTCAAATAAGATGGCAGTGTCTACAGCCCCTGGCTGGCTCAATCGGTAGAGCATGGGACTCTTTATCTTGGGGTCATGAGTTCGAGTCCCATGTTGGGGGCAGAGTTTACTTAAATTTTTTTTAAAAAGCTGCCATTGCGGGCGCCTGGGTGGCTCAGTTGGTTAAGCGACTGCTTTCGGCTCGGGTCATGATCCTGGAGTCCCTGGATCGAGTCCCGCATTGGGCTCCCTGCTCTGCAGGGAGTCTGCTTCTCCCTCTGACCCTCCCCCCTCTCATGTGCTCTCTCTCTCTCATTCTGTCTCAAATAAATAAATAAAATCTTTGAAAAAAAAAAAAAAAGCTGCCATTGTCTAAGAGGATCTGGGAAGAGTCGAGAAGAGGATTGCAATAAAGGCCAAGATCTGGTTTAAATTGCTAAATGAGCCCCTTAAATCTTCAAGTCCCAGCTGCCTTCTAAAAATTGAGGAAGTTGAAATAGATGGTCTCAAAATAAATTTATAAAATGGAACAGACAAAAGGAGTTGAGTAGTGAATGGCCCAGAATCCTAGAGGTCTAAACTCCTAAACTCCTTTCCCACTATTCCACAGTCTGGCCATTCCCTTCCCTGAAGTTTGGGTAGAGAGCAGCTGCTGACAAGGGAACACTCAGGCACTTGAATGTGTCTGATTTAATGAGTCATTCAACAATGGCCTACATAATGCTAATAATGCATCAGAGCACTAATCATCAGTAGACTCTAAAACCCAAAACCCATTCCTTGATGGTAGAGTTTGTTTGCTAAAAAAAATTAAAATAAAATAAATGAAAAGACATAGAGTAGATTACTCTAGTTCAGAGAGTCTAATGGAATTTGAGAACCCTTTTCTCCAGCTCTGACTTAAGATCTGTAATAAACTATTTAAGGTCTACTCTTCATGCTCTCATATAAAGCATTCACTTGCTCAGTTTCAGGTTCCAGTTCATCTCTGTCATCATATCTACCTTCTCTTTAAGCAACAAAAGAACTCGATTATAAATTTGGCTTCTTGGCTAGAGTTGAAGTAACCACCCATATTTAACCATTGTATTTTAATAAAACTGCTGCCTGGCCTGGATATGATGGGGCTTAGGCAGAAGAGGATAGTCCCTAATTGGAGGAAATACAACTTGGAGTCACAAATATGAGTTATATGAATTTGTTCTATTTTTTCATGCCAGTATGCCCAGTACCTAGAGAAGACTCCATCCAATTGTAACACAATAATAAATCTGGGATAAACAGGCAAAGATCGTTTTTTCTAGTGATAATGTAATAATAGTCCACCTGGGAGAGAGGGTGCCATGGGGTCTATATACCTCAATATTTCAGACCCTTTTTCTGGCCCCCAAAATCATTATTCACATTTGCTCATCCAAAAATTCTATTATTCAAGGTCAGAGTAGCCTGGCTGAACAAAAAATGTTGAAATGGTCCAAATTTCCCTTCATTATATCTCACATATTACACTGTGATATAGTTTTTCCTTGGTTGCAGTTTCTTATCAAATATTCTCATTTTGATTTTAATATCAATATGCTAAACTATATAGCATTGTTGATTAGGTAAAAAATTAAATTGAATGTTTTTGCAGTATCTATTTTTAAAAAGTTCACTGGGTACCTTATCTGAAGTTTAATGTTCTGCAATTCTCAAGGACATTGGCTGAGGCCTCAGTGAAATCTCTGCCTTAGTCAGAGATTACTTATGGAGTCCAGCACAGTTTGGACTGTTAACATACTGTACCCAAGAGGTATTGCCACTCCCACTATCCTGGGATACATTCATGATATAGCTGATCTATTTATGCAGATGACTGGTTTTAGTAGTGTAGATTCACTGCCTTTTAGATGGCTCATGGTAAGTCTGTCAGTCAGGGTTCCTAAACCCCTCAGACCTGCTGAGGATTTCTCTATTTCCCAAGATTCCTGTCTCCATGTGATGGCTAAACTGGAGCCAGAAGCCAGAAGCCCCCAGGATGTGCACATGCCAAAGGGTTGAGGGAGGAGCATGAGATCAAAGGAGAGCATCCCAGGGACATCCTAGAGATGAGGTCTCTCCCCTAGACCTCCATAGTGATCCCAGACACCTCCTAAAATCCCAGATGCATAGTGATGACCTTTTTCTCCATAGCAGAGTTTCTTAAGTTGGGGTCCACAGACCCCCAGGGAGTCTATGGAAGCACTTTAAGGGTACATAAGATGTGTATATATATTTTGGGGAGTGAACTTCATGGCCTTCATCATATTTTTAACCTAATCTATGGAAGAATCTTCAGAGCTCTGTGGAAATCTTCAAGTTATAGTTACTGGGATAGAGAGAAGCAGTTAGGTCAATTCTGACACAGCTCAGCCCTGAATCTCTGATATCCAGCCATATGCAGTATATGTGACTAACTACCAGATTCCAGGCTCCAGAAAACATCCCTGAGGCTGCAAGGACTCAGTGACCATCTCAACTATGGTCTGGTCCCTGAAAGGACCATTTGTACCTGGATATCTCAGAGATAGAACCAGAAGAGGAAAAATATATATGCTCTGAGCCTAAGGTTAGCTGAGTTCATCACAGACCCCAGGCCACGCCTCTGAGACTGCCCTCTGAACAGAAGGAGGAGATGGGAATCATTGAAGACGGACAGTCATCAGCTCTAGGCCTTGCCCCTAAAAGCATGGGGCCCGAGGGCCTCCCCCCAATCCCTGTAGAAACAAAGCACCAGTCCCTATAACCAGTCATTCTCCCTTATCTAATGCCCAAGGTCTCCCTGGATCCTGAAATAAAACTGACCCTGCAAAGGGAAGGAAGGCCTGCAACTAGCCCAGAAAGCCAACCAGAAAATGGTGTGTATATCCTCACAGGACAGAGTCTAATCCAGGAGTTTCAGAAATGCAAGGTGCTTTGAAGCCCAGATTTCATTTATATTATGGTTCTCAAACTTTAGTATGAATAAGTCATCCTGAGTGTTTTTGCTGTTGGTTTCTTGTTTTGTTTTGTTTCATTTTGACAGAGAGAGAGAGTGTGCTCGAGCAGGGGGAGGGGCAGAGGGAGAGGGAGAGAGAGACTCCCAAGCAGGTTCCACGCTCAGCGCAGAGCCCAACTTGGGGCTCGATCTCACAACCCTGAGATCATGACCCAAGAGAAAATCAAGAGTCAGCCAACTGAGCCACCCAGGCACCCAATGAATGTTTGTTTTATAGATTCCTATAATCGTGATTCAGTAGTTCTGGGGTAGAGCCCAGATATTTCCAGGTTGTAAAATGGAACTAGCAATTCTGATCTCAGGCAACCATGGAGTGTACCTTTAGAAAGTATCTAGGGTTTCTAGGGGCTTTAAGGCATCAGATGTGGAAAAGGGGCTTTAAAGGAACTTACAGTCCTCAGATAAATCATTGAAATGCCATGGAGAGCTTCTGGCCAGCACAGGCCAAAGGCCCCTGGGGGGGGGTCTATGGCTCCTACTGGTTAGTAATACATTTATATTCTTCAACTAATAGGAAAAATGAATTTGATGCACCAGAACCAAGACCAACTTTGAAGCCCAGCAACTTTTATAGATTATTAAATTTTTATCCTTTAAAGGGTCATAACAATGGTACCTACCCCATAGAATTACATACAGTGAGAAGTAAATGAGATAATTTGAACAAAGTGTTTAGCATAATGCCCAGACACACAGGAGTTGAGTGTTAGCTGCTGTAATCATTAATTACTGCTAATTATGACTATATCCATGCTCACCAAGAAACCACTGTAGCATCCTGTTTGTGAAAGACTGAGGTCAAATGTGGTCTCTATGGACTGAGGTATTCTCCAGAGAGAAGTTATTATTAAGGGTATTTTTTTTTTTAACTCAAGAGCAAAAAGAGTCCAATCCTCAAATAGATCACGAATATAATCAAAAACATTTTAGATTTCCCTTTACCTTCAGTTCTGACATTATCCAAAAATCAACTTGCTCCAACAGTACCATCCAAATTTGGTGAAAAATGAAGCTATGGGGTTCTGTGCAACTTTTCAGTCAACAGCGACCTCTGCATGCATGAGAACTAAATCTGTGACTATTACCTGAACTGCCAACAGTTTTCAACTACCTAAGAGAGCTGCCCCCAACAAATAAACTTTATTTTCAGACGAAAGATCCAAGCAGACCAGCAAGAAGACTTGACAACCAAACCGTGATGAACATTTGGCCAAGTATTTCCTCACCAGCCAGGAACCCCTAATATTAGAAAACTCCATCTCTCCACCCCCTCGTCTAGCCTGTTTGCTTAAAATGAATAAGAACTGGTGAGACACATTTCCTGAGAAGGAAGCATGGGTGGTTTTGGATAGAAAGGAATGAAAGGGAGAGAAGCAACTAAGTTTCTCCATGAAGAAAGGAAAGAGAAAGAATATTACAGAAGAGATTAAGATCAGAAAACAAGACCAATTAGGGCCTTCAGGATAAATATGAGACCTCTCTAGCTGCTCTGATGAAGAGTAGTACCACAGGTCTCGGGGGAGAAAGGATTAAATGTATGGACAGAAATATATAGCCCACCCTCTTCCATATCTTGCATTAGGTCAGTTTGAACATGGCTTTGCCCCCCATCAGTCAGACCTGACATGGATCCTGGAGCCTGGGGATCAGGCCTATCCCAGCCACCATCACCGGAGGACACATCCATGACAAACCCAAATTCCTAATTCCTAAACTACTTCAAGTCACCCCATATTGTAGCCACTCAGGAACAGAAGAAGCTTTGTTTAAAAAAAAAAAAAAAAAAACTGCATGTTTTAATTCAAGAAATAAAAGTTCACAGGCAATCCAGGACAGGTGCCAGGAATTTGCTCTACACAATCAGCCACACCTGCTGCAAAGGTTCAGGCTCCGTGGAATCACTGTGGCCAGTGCCTCCTGAGATGCTCTTTCAGCTGGGGAATGGAAGGCAGCGACTCCTGGCACTCGTGACAACGCAGGGGCAGCCTCAAGAGCTCAGGCATCCCATCTCGGACACTCACTGTGCCAGCGTCCTGTACCATCTCTATCACAGCTGCAAGCAAAGAAAAAAGTTCAGAGCCCAGCTACTCTGAAAAGCCAATATAAGATACCCCCCAGAAAAGCAAATCTGACTCCAAATAAAAATATGCCAGGTATCCTAAAGCTAGTAAACTTGAGGTTAAACCCACTGTGGGGAAAATGGGCTTGATCAGATTCTAAATCTGAGCAACCTGTTTTTGAAATAATTACATTCCTTTAGGACACACTGTAAGCAAACCATGTTACATGTCACCACAGTGCTTTACTGCTGGTTAGCCCTTGGTCAGTGGTAGTTGCCATCATTAATGTCCCAGCATACTGAAGTTCCACAGTATACACATGGGGAAATGCTCCCTTCCACATACATGCAGCCCTCCCCTGTTAATTAACCACTTGTGACATGAGGCTGCCCCCAAGCTCCTATCCAGCTGATGGCAGAAAAGACAACTGTTCAGAGCTTTCACATCCACGAACTCCAATAATTCTCAGGACAATCTTTAAGTCCCCTGTCGTTACAATAAAACATCTTTCTGACTCTGACATAACAGCTTTCTAGGTCCCCCGCAAGAAGGTTGCTCAAAACAAAGTGGCAATCCAAATATCCAGTTTCTTTTATTTTTTTTATTATTTTTTTTAATCCAGTTTCTTTTAATGGGTCTCTCCGTATAGGGACACAAAGTGGTACATGGGCTTTTGAGGCCAGGTAATTATCTAAAGAAACAAGAAAATCAAATATAAGAATAGGAAAAAAAAAAAAAAGAATAGCTGAGAAAATGAAACAAATGTGAAAACTAAAGAACTCTGTTTACCTTGTGATTCTAGGAAGTATTCTGTATTGAAAGAATTCCAATGTTTTTTGTTTTTAAGGCAAGGAGAATCAAAATCCTGGCTGATCACATGAAGGTGTACATGGCTAGTTGAGAGAGAAGGAAATTGACCATTAAATCCATTAAAAACTATGGCTTAATCAAAATGACAAACAGTAAAAGTATGGGTATATAAAATATTGCTAGTGTTTCCATTTAATCTAATTCATTCAATCATTCACTTAAGAACATTTAATGCTTGGGACGCCTGGGTGGCTCAGTAGGTTAAGCGTCTGCCTTCGGCTCAGGTCATGATCCCAGGGTCCTGGGATCGAGTCCCACATCGGGCTCCCTGCTCCATGGGGAGCCTGCTTCTCCCTCTGCCTCTGCCTCTCTCTCTCTCTCATGAATAAATAAATTTAAAAAAAAAAATCTTTAAAAAAATAATTAAAAAAAAAAAAAAAAGAACATTTAATGCTTACTAAGTACCTACTAGAGCCAACCATTATTCTAGCACTGGGAATTTAGCAGTGAACAAAATGAGAAAGGCCTCTGCCCTTATAGAAATTATATTCTAGTAAGGAAAGACAAATTTTAAAAAGAAAACAAATAACAGGGAGAATTCAAATCATTAACATTGCTAAGGAGGGCGCCTGGGTGGCTCAGTCAGTTGAGCGGCTGCCTTCAGCTCAGGTCATGATCCCAGGGTCCTGGGATTGAGCCCCACATTGGGCTCCCTGCTCAGTGGAGAGCCTGCTTCTCCCTCTCCCTCTGCCTGCCACTCTGCCTACTTGTACTCTCTCTCTCTGTCAAATAAATAAATAAAATCTTTAAAAAAAAAAAAAAAAAAAAAAACATTGCTAAGGAAAAACACAAACCAGGGAAATGGGACACAGAGTGCTCAGGGGCTAGAAGTTACCTCTTTAGCTAGAGTGTTCAAGGAAGGCCACTCCCAGGCAGTGATTTGAGCTGAGAAAGCAGTCAGGCAAGCAAAGATCTGGAGAAAGAATGTTTTGGGGAGTGGCAATGCCAAGTGCAAAGACTATGAGATAAGAAAGAACTTGGCGCAATTGAGGAACAGAAAGGTGATAGATAGGGCTGGAATGGTTCGAGCTGAGGAAGAGAGACTAGGTGGGAGTCAGAAAATAAAGAGTCTTACAGGCTGACAAGAGGTCTGCAGTGTATTCTGCTTACATTGTCTCTGATTTGCACTTTTAAAAGATCACTCTGGCTGCCCTGCAGAGAAAGAACTATAAAGAGGGTAACAATGGATACAGAGAGGAGTTAGGAAACTACTGCAGAAATAATCACACCTTAGATTAGAGCTGTAGTGTTTGGAATATATTTTGCAATAGAACCAATAGGACTTCCTAATGGATTAGATGTGGTTTGGGGGAGGTGCCACTTACAGAGATGGGGAAGCTTAAAGGAAAAGCAGGTTTGGGGCAGAAAACCAGGAGTTCTCTTTTGGACTTGTTAAACACTTTTTGTATAAATACGACTCTTAGAATCATTAGTATTTTCTATCCTCCCAATAAATAATCAAAACCAACCAATACATGCAGGAATCCAAAATGGAATACAGGCAGTATCAAACAAACCTAACAGTATTACAAACGAATAAGGGAACCACACTGAAGGGGCTCAGGAAGAAAATAACTAGTGAAATGAACTTCGGAAAAGAGTAGTTTGGATACTGTAAAGATGGAAAGAACTATACAGAAATACTGTGAGTAAATGTCTTTCTCACAGGGTTATGGGTTAGCTAGCAATTCTGTAATTGTTTTATGTATATACTAAGACCAAACAGGAAAGTGAATTTATTATAGCTAATGAGAGCCAGATTTTTCACCCTTGGAGAAAGAAATTACAATAAAGGAAAGGGGGAGACAAGAATGAACCGTGTAGAATTGAACTGGAGCCAGAGATACCAGTATAAGCTTGTGTTTTTCTGTACACATACAGAAATAGATAAAGAAAGAAATACGGAGGTGTGTGTATCTGTATGGATTAGGATTCACACATGTATTTCCTGGCCCTATCTGCCGAAAGGACCTAGGAGTAAAGACACCCTGGAATCAACCACTTCTCTCAATATAGAAACCTAGTATCCAAGTGTTGGTTTATAAATATCTTTCTTTCTCCGATAAAATGAACTAAATAAAATAAAAAGTTCATTCCAGGGCGAGAACAGGAAAAATACAGGATAAGCCTGGAATATCTTATTCCAGAAAATAAAGAAGTGCTCAAAAAATGTTGGAGCCCTGTCAAATGATTCGGGACCCAACCTAAAGGAGCTTCCAAGGACTAAAGCTAGAACAATTTGAGCAACAAAATGAATAATGATAGACTAAATTAAAACCTATAGAATAAAATATCCATGAGTCCACACTGACAAATAACTGAATAAATACATAGTGGGGGAGAAGGGACAACTCTTCCATATAGAAGAATTCTAATTAATAAAAAAAATCACCATTAGGTAAACACCACAGTAATAACTCTTGCAGGCAAGACCTTCCAATAAATGCTAAAATCACTGGGCAAAAGTTTGGGGAGAAACAGGATACTAGCATAGTCTCTAACTATTCAAGACATTCATCAATTACAAAGGGAAATAGTAACTCAGGAGAGAAACCTGGCAGACATCACCCTAAAAAAATGATCAAGGTTAATATGAGCAATAAGCTATCTCGACATCACGTACTCCTTGATATGAATATACTGAGAAGGACACAACATCACCTCTGTGGTATTAGGCGGGGTGGGGGAAGCATAACCTCAATCTAATCATGAAAAAATATCAGAAAAATCCAAAATGAGAGACATCCTATAAAACCAACCAGTAATCGGGACGCCTGGGTGGCTCGGTCAGTTAGGTGTCTGCCTTCGGCTCGGCTCATGATCCCAGGGTCCTGGGATCAAGTCCCACATCGGGCTCCTTGCTCAGCGGGGAGTCTGCTTCTCCCTCTCCCTCTGCCTGCTGCGCCCCCGCTCATGCTCTCTGTCTCTGACCAATAAGTAAACAAAATCTTTAAAAAAAAAAAACAACCACCAGTAATCATCAAAAGTGTCAAGGTCATAAAAACTAGGAAAGGAGAAGGAAGTGTCACAAATTAGGGGAAACTAACGAGAGACAACAAATAAATCCAATGCAGGATCCTGGATTAGATCCTGGAACAGAAAAACATAAAAATAAAAAAAATAAAAAATAAAGAAAGGTGAAATTCAAATAAGGTCTAGAATTTAATTAGTGGTGATATTATGGAAGATCTTTGTTTTGCTTCACACTTTTTTTTATATTTTCTAAACAGAAAATATATTACTTTTATAAGAAAAAAAAATCTGTTACCCTTTCCTTTCCATACTGTTTATTCAAAATTATAAATAGTGATCATAAAAGGAGATGTGAGTGGCAAATTACTGCTCATTTTGCTTCCCACCCACACTTGCCACAGCTCTTTTTAACATTCTTAGAACAATAGCATGTATTACATAATAAAGGTATGGACACCATGATTACTATGTGAAAAGCACTCTGTAGTCAAAGGGCTCTGTTAGTCATGGGCTGTGCAGCACTGGAGAAATAGGATTATGATTATGGGTGACTTTTGCCCTAAATTTTTGAATAAGATTTTAACAAAATATATATACAGTTGATCCTTGAGCTGACCCCCCCACACTATCAAAAACCCAAAAGTGTAATTTTTTACTCCCCCCAAAACTACTAATATCCTACTGTTGATCAGAAGCCTCACCAATAACATAAACAGTCCATTAACACATATTTTGTATGCTATATATATTATATACTGAAATCTTACAATAAAGTAAGGCAGAGAAAAGAAAAAGTTAAGAAAGTCACAATGAAAATACATTTACAGTATTTTACTATATCAAAAAACATCTGCATATAGGTGGACCAGCACAATTCAAACCTATGTTGTTCAAGGATCAACTGCATTTTTTTTTTGTTATTTTCTAAAGTGTTCTATTTCTTTTTTTTAATTTTATTGTTATGTTAATCACCATACATTACATCATTAGTTTTTGATGTAGTGTTCCATGATTCATTGTTTGCATGTAACACCCAGTGCTCCATGTAGAACGTGCCCTCTTTAATACCAAATCACCAGGCTAACCCATCCCCTCACCCCCTCCCCTCTAGAACCCTCAGTTTGTTTTTCAGAGTCCATCGTCTCTCATGGTTTGTCTCCCCCTCCGATTTCCCCCCCTTCATTCTTCCCCTCCTATGTTCTTTTTTTTTTCTTAACATATATTGCATTGTTTCAGAGGTACAGATCTGTGATTCAACAGTCTTGCACAATTCACAGCGCTTACCAGAGCACATACCCTCCCCAGTGTCTATCACCCAGTCATCCCATTCCTCCCACCCCACCCCCCACTCCAGCAACCCTCAGTTTGCTTCCTGAGATTAAGAATTCCTCATATCAGTGAGGTCATATGATACGTCTTTCTCTGATAGACTTATTTCACTCGGCATAACACCCTCCAGTTCCATCCACGTTGCTGCAAATGGCAAGATCTCATTCCTTTTGATGGCTGCATAATATTCCATTGTATATATATACCACATCTTCTTTATCCATTCATCTGTCGATGGACATCTTGGCTCTTTCCACAGTTTGGCTATTGTGGACATTGCTGCTATAAACATCGGGGTGCACGTACCCCTTCGGATCCCTACATTTGTATATTTGGGGTAAATACCCAGTAGTCAACTGCATTTTTTTTAAATGAGGCCCAACATACATCAACCCTATGACCTAGCAACTTCACTTCCAGGAATTTACCAAAGGGCAAAAAAATGAAGTATGTGCATGATATACACAACAACATACATGAATCTCAAAATCATAATGCTAAAAAAGGTCCGACAGAAGAAAAGTACACATTGTATGATTCCACTTATATGAAGCTCTAGAACAGGCAAAACTAACCTATGCAGAAAGAAATCAGAACAACGCTTGAGGGCTGAGGGGAAGACTAATTGAAAAGAAGCGCAGGGGAACTTTCTGGGATATGACAGAAATGTTCTGTATTTTAATCAGAGTGATAGTTACAAGGGATAAATGTTTGTCAAAACTGACCAAACTATAAATCTTGTGCATTTTGTTGTATGTAAGTTATGCCTCTATTTTTTTTTAAGATTTTATTTGACAGAGAAAGACACAGCGAGAGAGAGAACACAAGCAGAGGGAGTGGGAGAGGGGGAAGCAGGCTTCCCTCTGAGCAGGGAGCCCAATGCAGGGCTCGATCCCAGAACCCTGGGATCATGACCTGAGCCAAAGGCAGACGCTAATGACCGAGCCACCCAGGCGCCCCAGTGATACCTCAATTAAAAAAAAAAAAAAATACTGATGGGGGAAAAAATGTGGCATAAAAATTTCATTTGGTTAAAGTGGCCCATCATATAAGTCATAATTCGCTGAATAAAATGTGAAGAATGTTGGGCAGTTAAAAAAAAATAACCAAAAGAAATTCTGACACATGCTACAGAAGAGACGGACCTTGAAGACATGATCCTAAGTGAAATAAGCAGTCACAAAAAGACAGATACTGTATGATTCCACTTATATGAAGCACCTAGAGTAGTCAAATTTATAGAAACAGAAAGTAGAATGATAATTGCCAGGGACTGTAGAGCGGAACGGGATGTAGTTTGGGAAGACGAAAAAGGATCTAGAAGCAAACGATGGTGATGGCTGCATAATAATGTATATGTACTTAAACGCCAATGAACTGTAATACTTAAAATCATTAAAATGTTAAATCTTGTTAGGTATATTTTATCACCAAAAAAACAAACAAATACAAGATAAAAACTCCAAAATCCAATTAGTCTGCTTATCTTGTTGCTTAGCTCTAAAGAACTATGGTGATCTGCCTTGCTTGCATTCTTTAAAAAGACTGTTATTCCTTTCTGAATACTTCTGGGTATGAGCCAAAGGCAAACAGGCTCTATATTTTTCTCTCATTTTACTTTAAATCTTAGATCTACTGAGTTGTCACAATAAAAGTCAGTGATGTTTGTCTCCTTCAAAGCAGTGGTCCTTAATTGTTTAGGAGTTTATAGATGCTTCTGAAAAATCTTAATAAAAGTCACAGGCACAAAAAATAAAAAGAAAAATCAAAGCAAGTCAGGCATAAGGGTGGAAGTTTCAGCCCACCTTCCTTGGAAACATCCCACCCTAGTCCCCTGGGCCTTGGAACTATCAGCACACCTAGGCTGAATCCATCTGTCCACCTAGACAGAACCAGAATGCACTGGCACTACACACGACACTTACCTCATGCTGGGAATGGCATGGTAACCCAAACGGAAGCGGAGTTTGCTGGACCCAGCAAAATCTGTGATCATCTTTTCCCCCACAGTGTGCATGTGTTTAAGGAGCTCAAGGTGTTCCCTGGTCACAGCCTTCAGACTGGAAATGGAAGCCCATGGTAAGACCAGCCAGTGATGACGAGCCTTGGGATATTTATCCTTAATCACCACCACCTGCTCATCTTTGTAAACCTAGCAGAGGGGCATAAGAGAAGGAACAGACATCTACCACACATCTTCTGCATGCCAGGTGCTGTCATATTCACTAACTCACTTAACTCCCAACACAATCTTATGTAAAAGGTTTCAGTATCCCAATTTTGTCAGATGAGAACTGAGACTTGGAACATGTCTTGCACTGTCACAGAGTTAACAAAGTGGGAAGTCTAAGATTGTAAACCAGGTCTAGTTGACTCCAGAGTTCAGTCACCACACTACAAAGAATAAACAGAAAATGCATAGTACAAAATAGTTCCCAAGGTTCTGATGTAACACCCCCGCAAGCATTAATTCAAATGCACCCTTCTCCACTCTAACCCAGCAGACCATGTGTCACAATCATGTGTTCCAAGAAGCCCTACCAGATCTGGCCCCTTGTCACCCAGGATGTAATTTAAGAAGAACTCAAAGACTCCTCCCAGGATGACGCCTGACTATTAATCCCAGGGAGCCCAATAACTACAGTCACAATATATTACCTGACACTCCCTTGAAAGAAACCCCACTAAGGTTAACACAACTTCCCTTAATAGCACCCAGAAGTTTAGGAGGAACAAAGAAGAGGGGATATTCATTTAAGGAACTGAGCTTCTCTCCAACCAATTCCAGTTACTAACTTACTGATAATGGGAAAAGACGCTTGGTTCTCACAAAATAGCCCAATAAAACGAACCTCAGTCAGAAGGACTGATCTCCTTTGCTTTCACTTGTAGTTATGACCTCTGTGGAGTAGTCACTTAAAACATGAAGTGTATTGGGGTGCCTGGGTGGCTCAGTCGTTAAGCATCTGCCTTCGGCTCAGGTCATGATCCCAGGGTCCTGGGATCGAGCCCCGCATCGGGCTCCCTGCTCTGCAGGAAGCCTGTTTCTCCCTCTCCCACTCCCCCTGCTTGTGTTCCCTCTCTCACTGTGTCTCTGTCAAATAAATAAATAAAATCTTAAAAAAAAAAAAAATAAATAAAAATGATGCGGGAGAAATCTATTTAAAAAAAAAAAAACAAAACATGAAGTGTATTTCAATGCCAAAATGCTATTCTGACCTGCATTTTGGGATCCTGCATAGAAATTTTCAAGCCTTGACTCCAGTGACCCAATGATTCCTGAAACAAAAAGGGGCCATAAAATTGCAAATGTCAATAGTTGTATTTGGCATTAGTTAATATTGTATGTCAGCAAAGCCCAACCAAACTTAGCAATGAGATTAGTTTTTAAGAATTAAGCTATACCCCTTTACTCAATCGTTTGCCTTTATAACCTAAACCGGCTCCATTTTCTTCCTATACAGGATTCAGAGCTGTGTGTCTAGACGAAGGCTGGAGATGCCAGTGTCAACTGCATCTTCTTCGCCCTCTCCCACTCCATCTACAGCCTAACTACATTTCCACTTTGACATCAGGATGCGAATCACATGATCTATGAACAGTGTTCCAATGCTAACCTTCTACAGATAAACATATGACTGACCCATTTTAGCAGTTCCATGCTAAGCACATCGCCATTATCTCCCTACCGTCAAGTGGCCTACCTCAGGAATTCAAGAGAAAAGTACATGAAGGGACATTCACCCAAGTGACTGGTGACACAAACAAGTGACTCTTTCATCATGGTTAATAAGCCTTGTCATGGTTAATAACCCATTATGCATATCTGGGCTTTACAGTGTACAAAACAATCAAGCAGTCATTATATCTCATTTAATCTCCACATCATCTATCAAGCACACCGCCCTCACCTTTTTGGTAGATGCATCTTTCCCTTTCTTTGAGGGCACAGAGGATTGGCCAGGGTCACTCCCAGGTTCCAGTCCTCTACAGGACTCAGCTTCCTGGGCAGCATCCCTTTCTATAGAATCACTGTTGCCTGACCTCTTTCTCTTCCTGTGTGTTTCTAGGCCAGGGCTCTCTGCCTCTTCCTCAAACTCTACAATATATGGATAAAGTTCATTCACCATGTGGAGAACTTGGCCAGGCTGCAGCTTCACCTCTTGGTCCTTCCCAATTATGACTGAGTCAATGCTGGTGGGATTGACCCCTACCTATAAATAATCAGAAAATAATTACAAAGATAGCAATAATACCATTAGCAGCATAGCCACTGCTATGTTAACCACTTACTGCATGCCAGGCACCATGCTTAATGCTCACTCCCCACACATGACAGAGAAGCTTCTGTTGGTTGGCACAAACACTCTAAAATCAACAGCATAAGAAAATCATCAAGTATAAAATGGAAATCCAAATTACAATCATACATACCTGCTTCACCTTGACATATCCTTTGTTACACTCTGCTTTCAACTGTACTGAAAGAGATTTTAAAAAGTTAAACCTAAATGCCACAAAGAACCAAGCACGTGCTCCTATTCCTTACAGGACAATGAAGCCTCACTCCAGGAGGCAACTTGACTGTGGTTTCCTCAAAGGCCTATGAGCAAAATTGCCTGTTATGCAGGTGGCTGGGCTCCAAATCCTTCCATAAAACGTCCACCAGCACACATACTCCCTTAGCTCCTACTAATATCCCTACGAAGCAGCTTCACAGAATCCCCACAAATCTCGCTATTCCAGAGCCCTTGGCCCACTCAGGATCACAGACTCTGCAGTCAGGGAAGGGACCCCATTCTCTCACAGACTCTTGGTTCATGATTGTATCAGGCTTCCACTATTTAATAAAACTATGAGATGCTTTCAATAGAAAAAGGCAAAAGATACACTTCTGGAAAAGAGAAATTCAGCTGGCCTTAGTAGGCAGGGTGATTATTCTAGGAAGAGGATTGCAGGAACAGAACAGTCTGAGCATATGTGGGAAGAAATAACATTAAATACTTGTGTTCAGAGAAGTGAACAAAGTTTCTAGGGGGAGACAGGGTGCACAGACACCACAGCTGCTCTCCAGGAAAGAACAGGCAGAAGACAGGCTGACATACAAGTCCCTACAGTTGCTGTTGTGAAATGGGGACAGAGTGAAAAGCAGTATCTGCTTCTGTATCTCAGACCTAGCCAGCTCAAGTATGGTTTTTTTTCCCCATTTAGATTAACTCATGTGGAAAAAATCATAATCAGTACTGCAGACTCCAAGCACGGAGAAACTCTATGGGGAACACATATGTGGGGGTCTGGTAGCAGTGAGCATGTCCAGAGTTTATATGTAAAAAAATGAGGTACATGGTAAGGCTTTTTCCTAAGGACGTTCTTTTCATTAAATCCCAGGAAAGGCATTTCAAGAGCTAGATGCCATAGTCTTATAAAGATAACCCCCTCTGTGTGAGGCATTATGTAAAGGATGGAACTATCCCATCACTTCTCAGACATGGTTTCAGGCTGGAGGTCCCAGAATTAACTGTCTCACTGCTCAATGAGGAATCTCCCTGGGCAAAGCAGGGTACAAGATTCAGGTCCATCACCCTATAGTAACAGGATGGAACCTGCCTATTCTCAACACTGAATATTAACCACTTCCAGAGGGTAGAATCTGGGGTAAATGGGTCCCTGGTGTTAGCTAAAAGAGCTCAGTTCCTGAGTTTTGTTTATGGCAGACAAAAAGATTCTACCAATAGCATCCAGGAAATGTGCATCTTGGGTTATCATTATCCTGAGGAACAAAACACAGTAATCTGCACATTGCTATGACCAAGTACCTTGCTGTCGAGAACATTTCTTGTCAACAATCTTGGTCTCTGGGCCACGCCCAACCATGACTGCTTCCAAATGCGGAAGTTTGATTCGCTGGTGCCGGTTATCCTGTCTCACCAACCAGCACACCCTCATCATTACTCTGAGAGAAAAAAACAGAAGAGAATCACTGGAAAAATTAGCACAAGTCCTCCAGGGCCACACCCCAGCACCACCACATATGCCATCTACCAGTGACTTCACCTAGGTCTCAATTTTCTCACCTCTAAAACATGATGATGACAGGACTCATGAGGCTGTTGTAAGAATTAAATATGATAATGTATATATTTACCTCCATGCCTAAATCAGGCTAAGCAATCAAATATTATGTTTATTGATATACTCTACGTGCTGACCATTAGCCTACACACTGAGGATAACAGAATAATTAAACATTGTCCCTATCCTCGAGGGGCCTGGAGTATAGGTGGGGCAGACAGACTCATATGTCAATTATTACAATATGATGTGATAAGCACCATAAAAAGGGATTAACCAAATATGGCATTAGCCCAGGGAAAGGAATAACTGACTCTTGTAAGTAATATCAAAAACAGGTTAATGAGGAAGGGATATTTATGCTGAGTTTTAAAGCATGAGAAGGAGTTTGCATGGCAGAGAATTAAGGACATAAGAATAGAGGATGTTCTTCAGTCCACAGGCATCTCTATGTATATTAGGTTTCCCTCCTTAATCATCATTAACATATCAATATTAGAACAATACATTTTTTTGCCATCTAACAGAAGACTGTCATAATAAATATGCAAACCTACAATGTCTAAAGTGTGAATGTGGCCCCTCTGTGCAATACACAAACTGCACAACAGTGAAGGAACTGGTTTTCTTTTGAAAACAACCTTTAGGGGCACCTGGGTGGCTCAATCGATTAAGCATCAACTCTTGATTTCAGCTCAGGTCATGATCTCAGGGCTGTAAGATGGAGCCCTGCATTGGGCTCTGGCCTCAGTGGGACGTCTGCTTAAGATTCTCTCTCTCTGCCCCTCCCCACCCACCCATCCCAATCACCGCTCCCTCTGCATGCGCACACACACTTTCTCTCTCTAAAATTAATAAATAAATCCTAAAAAAGGAAGGAAGGGAGGGAGGGAGGGAGGAAGGAAGGAAGGAACGAACGAACAAACGAACAAACAACCTTCATGGCCACATAGGGTATCAGTAGAAGGGAGACAAGAAATTTGGGAGGAAAAAAAAAAAAAGAAAGAAATTTGGGAGAGAGATGAGGCCTGAACAAAGGCAGGGCAAAGGGAATGGAGAGGAAGAAGATCCAGAAAAATTGTGAAGGTAGACTTAATTACTGACTGTATTTGGGGAATGACAAAGGAGTAAAGGGAGACATCAATCAAGACTTCTAATTTGGAAATAGCCATTAACCACACTGAGAAATAAACAAGGAGACATAATTTGAAGTTAAATGGCAGATGAAGAAGGGATGATTTCTGATTGAAACACAATTAGATTAAGATCCACAGGTCAAGGTAGGATATATGGGTAGAAAGCTCAGGGAGAGGAATGGGCAGAATGTATATATTTGAGAGCCATCAACATGTCAGAGAAGGTGAGGCAAAGAGAGAGCATGAGATCACCCAGAGAGGGAGAGCAGGAAATTATGCACAGAGACAGGACTAGGATCTTTGGGATGCCTCCAGAAACTGACCATTCAAGCCTCTAATACCCTCTGAGAAATGTGCCCTGCAGGCAAGGCAGCACTTACTAAGCCCTCTGCACAAGCTCTGTGTCCAAAGGGAACAAAAAGGAACAAGATTTTTAAAAATCAAAGTTTTATTACCAACTGCAAAGAAAGGATAATGCAAAGGAGTGAGCAAATGAGTGCTGAAGAGGTGCAAAGTCAAAGAAATTTGATCAGTCAGGAAAGGCTTTGGAAACCACCCAACTGAAAAGGCCGAGAAGACTGATAAGAAAATAAGTGGGAGGGGACATTCCTTTTTTTTTTTTTTAAAGATTTTATTTATTTATTTGACAGAGAGATAGGCAGAGAGGCAGGCAGAGGGAGAGGGAGAAGCAGGCTCCCCGCTGAGCAGGGAGCATGATTCGAGGCTCAAACCAACTGAGCCACCCAGGTGCCCCGGGACATTCCATTTTTAAAAGCACAGGTGACAGGGACACCTGGCTCAGTCCAAAGAGTGCGCAACTCTTGATCTCTGGGTCACTGAGTTCAAGCCCCACACTGGGTGTGGAGATTCTTAAATAAATAAAACTTAAAAAAAAAAAAGGTACAAGTGACAACACAGATTTCAGCAATAAGCCACAGTTAAGGGGTAGAAAGCAGACCTTATTAGCTGACCCAGAGGAGCTGCCCCAGAGAATCACCAAAAAATTGCAGAGGTACTGAACACTAGGCTGAAAAGTTTAGACTTCACAATCAACAAGAGACAACTGCCAAGTTATTGAGCTGCAGAGCAAAGTGAAACAACAGCTGTGTGTAGGCAGGCTGGAGCGGAGAAGTCTAGAGTCAGAGATTAGTCACGAGGCTGTCAACATAATGACCAGAGTGAGGTCCAAAAGTTCAGGCAGGTCTTTGTGAAGGAATGGATGCAAGAGCATGAAGAGTCAGCTGCATACCTAAAATCCTGAAACTGAAGCCTCAAATGATGATGATGCTACAGGCAAGTCCCACTTTTAAATGCTATGTGTTCAGAGGGGCATCTGTTTGCACTTGCTGGAAACTGATGAATGAGCAGGTAATGGACTGAGAAGTGAAGTATGTCTTCATCAGGCCTTGGGAAATAAGTCATGGTGACTGACTACTCACAGTAATAAAAGAAATCTGGAGAGAGCACAATTTGAGAGCAGGGACAGGAAGGAATCTGATGGGCCGCTGAGAGCATGGCTGGCTGTTGCAGGATAATAGGAACTACCCCTCCTGCCCTATACACACACTCATTCCCACCAAAATTCTCAAGTTATGATGTTCCTATTTACTACTTCTTGAGAAGCTAAAGCAGTGACTGCACAATGCTCACGCAACTAACGTTAAGCAACATTTTGGCCCATTTTAGCCTCCAGTTCCAATTTCTAGGAATGAAGCATTTTAGAATATGGGGAGTACATAAGGATAGGTGCTCCTGAATCTTTAAATTGGTCCATCCAATAAAACTCCATAAACTGCAAGTTCTAGGACAGAAGTCAAGCCCATTTTTTGCTTACCAATATATCTCCAACACTTAATACTTGGCATACAGGAACGCAATATATATTGCAAGTAAATCACCAGATGATAATCCTATCCAGATTCTCATCCCTTTCTTCTCTTTCCCCTGCTCCAGTTCCTCTTAAGTGGTCCTTTGCTCCTCTCTTTGGGCAATCCCATCGTCACATCTAGGCAGATAAATCCTAATTCTCTATTTTCTAACTCCCTACTTTTCATTCCAGGAAAAAATTCTGGTTATATCTTAAGGAACCAAAGTGATCTGATAGGCCACACAAGCCCAGCAATCTGATAATGTGGAACAGTGCTGTCCAGTAGAATTTTTTGCAATGATGGAAGTATCGTTAATCTGCATTGTCTAATAATGTAGCCACCATGTGACAATCAAGCATCCAAAATGTAGCTAGTGCAACCAAGGAACTAAAGTTCTTAGATTTTTTTAAACATACATTTAAATAGCTACATGTGGCTGATGGCTACCATGATATCCAACTCAGCCCCAGAAATTTGCCCAACCTGGTAAGTACCAAATTCCTCAGGCTTGAGGTTAAGACCCTCATACTCTATCCCCACAAAGGTTACTTATGTCACCTCCTACTTCCTTTCATAGAACTAGCCCACCCTTCCCTTCCCCCAGACTCACATACGTTTATTCTTACACACAAATACATCCCTCAGGTATGATGTACTGAGTCACATCTCCCAAGTAAGTCATTCTTAATATGATCTCCTGGCATTGGATTATACCGTTTCCTCCTTCCTAGAATCCCAAATCCTTCTCAATTCCCAAGTCCCACCTCCTCCAGGGAGGCCTTCACTGAACTATCTTGTCTTCTCTACATCTTGCCATAGGGTGTGGTCAATTTATCTTCACAGTTCTCTGAAAATTAAATGTGGATGTAATTCTACTCTCCAAATGAGACTATAATCTCCTTATATACAGCCTGCATCACTACCCATCCATACAGAAAACTCAGGTCTCTAGAAGATTATGGCCCTAGGCTAGGCCTGGCCTTATACTTCTCAATATCCTCTGGTGTTCGGCATACCTTTATCTAGTGCATACTATCTGCTAGGCACTTGTTAAATGTCTTACTTTTATTATCTCATTTAATTTTCCCAGCAACTCTCATTCTAAGGAAAAGAAAATTTAAGGCTTAAGAAAAAACAGGTAACCTATTTTTAGTTTGGCATAACCAATGTGTGCCAGAGATAGGATTTGAATCAATTCTAAAGAATGGGTTTTTGTTTTTGTTTTAAAGATTTTATTTATTTATTTGAGAGAGAGAGAATGAGAAAGAGCATGAGAGGGAGGAGGGTCAGAGGGAGAAGCAGACTCCCTGCCGAGCAGGGAGCCCAATGCGGGACTCGATCCTGGGACTCCAGGATCGTGACCCGAGCCGAAGGCAGTCGCTTAACCAACTGAGCCACCCAGGCGCCCTAAAGAACGGGTTCTTAATCACTACACCATATACCTTTTGTCTTCACTCATTTGATCATTCAATTAAAATTACTATGTGCCGGGGCGCCTGGGTGGTGCAGTCAGTTAAGCATTCGACTCGTGGTTTTGGCTCAGGCTGTGATCTCAGGGTCATGAGATCAAGCCCCACGTCGAGCTCCATGCTCAGCATGCAATCTGCTTGAGATTCTCTCTCTCTCTCTCTAACCCTCCCACTCGTGTGCTCTAAAATAAAGAAATAAATCTTTTTTTAAAAATTACTGCATGTCTACAGTGTGCCTTGTGCTATTCTAGTACTGAGAATAAAGAAATAATACATATCACTCATATAATGGAGGTATAATATATCATGCCTGCCTTCAAAAGGCTCAGTCTTGTGGGGGAGAGAAACACAAAAACATTTATAATAAATGTAGTAAGTATAGTGATTGGTCTGTGCAGAGTATCATGGGAGCACAAGGCTGGAGTACCCAACCCAGACATGGAGAAAGGAGATGTCAAGGAAGATTTCCTATAGGAGTCAGACCTAAAATGAGTCCTATATATAAGCCAGATTAACTAGGTGAAGGGTCATCCTAATTAGGTGAGGAGAAGGAAGTGGATAAAGGAAACAGGGAGAAAATTCAAGTCAAAGGGAATAGCAAGGGCAATGCACAAAGAAATAATAGACTGCACATGACGAAGCAGTTCAGTGTTGCTACAACTTAAAATATGAGGCAGAAAAGAGGCTAGAGACACAGGCACGTCCAGAATAAGCAGAGCCCTGGGTGACTGGCTGAGAAGCTCAAACTTTAGAAGTTCCACTGCATTTTACAATTTAATAAACAATAAAAATTTGCTAAGTGAATGAGAAAAAAGATCAGATGAATGAACAGACAGATACTTAAAGATTATTAAGCAGGACTTTAACACAGATTTGTGTCAAAGATCATTTGGGGGAGGAGGGTACGTGTTACTTCTATCACCTCATGTGAGAAGATACATGGGGAACAGGACTGGAGGCAGGGAAATCGTTCAGAAGGCCATCACATTTCAGATGAAAGATGACAGTGCCTAAAGTAGTTCAAAGGTAGGGATGAAGAACAACACAGATTTGAGAAATATTTAGGGGGTAAAATCATCAGGACTTAGTGATCTATGTGATGAGAGCAAGTTCAGGGGAAGACAGAGTTCAGTTTCAGGCTTGTGAATTTGAACTGTGGGACTTGCAGGCAGAGCTGTCTAGTAGGGTGGTCAGAGGTGAGGGTGAAAGTCAGAAAAAAGGGTCTGACAACTTTGATTTGGGAGCATGTAGAAGGGAGTTAAAACCAAGCTAGTTGATGTGCTCTCAGGCAGTGTATCCAGAACAAAAAGAACAGTGAGCCAAAGTCACAAGCCTTGCAAATACCCAACATTTTAGGGGAGGAAGAAAAAAGACTACCCACAGGAGAAATGGCTGGTGAGAGAGACACATGGAGAAACAGCTAGAATGTAAGCTCCTTACAAGGAGGCACTTTGTCTTCCTAGTCTCTGTATCATAATAAATGTTTGTTAAATAAATCAGCTGAATGTATTATTCTGGAAAGCAAAGCAGTAGAGGAGTGAGAGTTTCAAAAGCAGCAAAGGTGACTAAAAAATGTCTATCTGGTTTGATAATTACTGTAACTTTAAGGTTAAAATTTCAGGGGAATGATAGGTCTCAAAGGGAGACCGAAGAAAGGAGTGAAAGGTGAGGAAATGGAGATAGAATTTAGAATACTCTTTAAAATAGTTTGAATAAGAAGGGGAATAGAGTTACTGGATGACATCTAAAGGAAGGATGGATCACTAAGACTTCCTTCTTTCTAGCTTGGTAGGTTAGGGGGCAGGTGACCAGGAATCTGAGAAATCTGACATGTTTATACAAAACTAGGACATAGGGGCAGAGAAGACAAATGAAAACAAGGTCTCATAGATGAAAATATAAAAGGTAAGAAGCAAAGACACAGGGATTCGCTTTTATCAGAGCAGAGTGAAAGAAAGGTAAAAAGGGTGTAAGTCTAAGACTTTTTTAAGAAGGGAAAGCAGGGGCAAAATTTTGAGGGAAAGGACATCTGATGACCTCAATCCACTCCATAAAATAGTAGGTAGGAGTGAGGTGTTTGGGAGCTTAATGAACAGTTGAAAAAAATCAATGTAATACAGTGGATAACATCCGGCCTCTTAAGTTCAACTGCTTGAGTTCAAATCATGGCTCGGTAACCTACCCACTGTGTGATTTGACGCCAATCATTTAACCTAGGCCTTTAATTCTTTAGCTGTAAAACAACATTAAGAATTGCTCTACAACACAGGGTTGTCACAAGGACTGAATGAGGAAGTATGCAAAGCTCAGGGTCTGGCAAAAAGTAAGCATTCAACACTATTATCACTGGTTAACAGTGAAGACAGGATAAAAGCCAAGAGCTAAGGACATGTAAAAAGATCATCCCCCATCACTGACTGTGCAACTTAGGTGGAAGGGCACAAGTCTGTATTGTCTCCCTACATGTACAGTCTGGTCTCAAGTATTTTAACAATTCCTAATATGTTAGATTCCCTAAAGGCTCTAAACACTAATTCCAAATGGAAATTATATCCCTGCTTTTTTGAACCACTATCACTGCCTACATGATAAAAAGCTTGCTTCTTCTGGCCCTCCTGTTAGGCCTGTTGAGGACGACGTGAAGGCCCCTCCAGTTCCTTTCAGGAAGCGCTTCTAGAGGAAACAATGCCCTTCCTGACAAGCTGAGCCGCCTCCTGGGCTGGACAATACCCTCTCTCTCTCATCTTTTTTTCTGCTTGTGTTGTGACCAAGCTGTGGGGTGAGAGGAGAGGTGCACGAACGTGAGGTGGGGCGGCGACCGAAAAACGGCCCAAGGGAGCTTGGCAAAATGAGACGCCTAGAGCCCGAGGACGGAGCAAAGCCTGACGGGAAAAAAGCCATAAAAGCATTATTCAAGGAACATGATTCAGGGGCAGTAATGACCCCGGTCCATGACCCACAACCACGGTTTTCCACCCGGCCAGCAGAGGAGGTAGGCCAACAACTGCCTTACCTCGAGACCGCGGAGACAGACAAGCGCAAGTCACTCTTCAGAGCCGCACCACTTCCGGCGCTGTGTGATGACGTCACGAGGCCATCCAGGGAGCAACCGGTGATGTCACCAGTGCCCGTCCAAAGATTGGCTGAAAGGGTCTCTCCCAATACCCGGATCGGGAAGCGTCGGCTCCTATTGGTCCCTCTCGGGCCGAGGTCCTAGTGCGGTTTCTGGCAATGATCCCGCGGAGGACTAGCAGAGCTTCTCTCCATCCGAGTCTTCCCCGTCACCACCTCTCAGTCTGAGTCCGGAGAGACTTCAGGCAGCTGTCCTCTCTGTGGCCGTTTCTAGGCAACTGTGCAGTGCCTTGACACTCCGTTAGTAAAAGCTCATTACCTTTAAGGCCATCTTTTCCGCTGTAGAAAGTACCTGCTGTGGCATCGTTTTCCTGCCCTCTTTCAAAACTGCAATCGACTCTCTTTTGTCTGGGGAGAAAGGGCTGGAGGGGCATGCGGTGGGAAAACCTGATTAAGATTGTTTTAATGCTGTCTTTACTAAATGAACTGGCTGACAGGTAGTTAGGGAGGAGAGAAGCAGCAGGCTGCTGGGATGAGATGGGTTTACCGATTTTTATAGCGATTCCAGGATGTTCCCTAAGAGTCATGTATTGCAATTATTCGAAGGCATTTTGGCAGATGGAACAATTCCTATCTTGTGGGTGAAGGCATAGTTTATAATTTTTCTCAAACTAAATACAAACAGCCTTAAAGGAGTCACATTTCTTGCTCAGGATGGAATATATTTCCTTCCACAGAAAAGTGGAGTTAACGGTATGACAGAGATACCAGAGCTATTAAAATAGGGTAGAAGAATCTTCCAGGAAACACAGAAAAGAGACTTCCTCTTTTTAGCAGTGAAGATGCAGGTTTATATTAGGGTCATACCAGGAAGTAGGGGAGCACAGGAAGCATCTTAGCCACACAGCCTTCATGGTGGTGGAATGTGATTCACGGCTACTGGAGGTAGGTGGAAGTTTGGGGGTAGGGCCTGGCATAAGGGTCTTCCTGGAGGATGTCACCACCTCTCATTCCTGATGTCACTGACATTTTAAAGGTGTTTCAGAGCAAGAACTTCGTCTCTGTGTGCAGCTTTCTATCTACAGAGTCACAGCGATGTCTTTATCACAATGATCTCTTCCTCTTCTGATGTGTCACCTTATTCTTGTTTCAACAGCAATGGCACTGCCAGACTTAGGATAGGAATCTGGGAGAGATAATGTAGTGGCTAAGAATATGGATTCTGGAAACTGACTCCCTGGGTTTGAATCCTGGCCCTGCGACCAGCAAGTTATTTATCCTTTCTGTGCCTCAGTTTCCTTATCTGTAAAAGGGGATAATAGTACCTAGCCCATAGGGTTATTGTGTAGATACCTGTACTTTACATCAACTCATTAACTATTTAGTCTTCACAATAGAGTTGATGTAGAGTACGGGTATCTACACAATAACCCTATGGGCTAGGTACTATTATCATCCCCTTTTACAGATAAGGAAACTGAGGCACAGAAAGGATAAATAACTTGCTGGTCGCAGGGCCAGGATTCAAACCCAGGGAGTCAGTTTCCAGAATCCATATTCTTAGCCACTACATTATCTCTCCCAGATTCCTATCCTAAGTCTGGCAGTGCCATTGCTGTTGAAACAAGAATAAGGTGACACATCAGAAGAGGAAGAGATCATTGTGATAAAGACATCGCTGTGACTCTGTAGATAGAAAGCTGCACACAGAGACGAAGTTCTTGCTCTGAAACACCTTTAAAATGTCAGTGACATCAGGAATGAGAGGTGGTGACATCCTCCAGGAAGACCCTTATGCCAGGCCCTACCCCCAAACTTCCAACTCTGCTAGCTAGAAGGACTAAACACCAACCTGTGAGCTCAGCTCAACCCATTCGCCCTACAGGGCTGGAAAGAGCTCTAAGACAGTGGCTGCTAGGTCAGCACTGGGTCTCTTTTAATGCCCGTGCTACTGAACCTATGACTGGGTCTTCCTGATGCTCAGCACAGAAACCCATGGCAAAGGCGCACCCTGGCCTCATCACAAGCCCTACCTCTCCTTAAAGGAAAGCCTGGATGTGGAAGTCTGGATTTAAGCCAGCAGCACTCTCAAGGTCACCTGCAAACTGACCTCCCAGTTTGATGAGTACAGTACTTTCTTAACCCAACACCACCACTACCACCACCAGCAAGCGTGTATACACACACACAAATGCCTCTGGCCTCACTCCCATATTTGGAGAAAACATACAAAATTTAATGTTAAAATACTGAAATGGGTGGTGCAGTCATTTAGGTGTCTGACTCTTGGTTTCAGCTCAGGTCATGATCTCAGGGTCCTGGGATCGAGCCCCAGGTCAGGCTCCTAGCTCAGCGTGGAGTCTGCTTGAGATTCTCTCTCTCCCTCTCCCTCTGCCCCTCCTGCTCGTGCTGTCTCTCTCTCTCTAAAATAAATAAATAAAATCTTCTAAAAAAATTACTGAAATGGCAGTTTAACCCAAGAGTAGAATTATTTCATAACTGCATTGCTAGATAGCTACAAAAGGCGTGCAGAGTTGGGGAGCAGGATTTTAAGTCTTGGAAATGAGAGGGGCCTTTCTAGAGAGAGTCTTCTCCATTTGACAGTCACTCAGCAAATACTTCTCGCCCCCTGCTATATGCCAATAACTAACTGTGCTGGTGCAGGAGATAAAACACCGTGAAGCCATGATCTCTGAGACAGCCCCCCGCTCAGTGGACCCACTGAATCTCTGTCGGGTGTGCTGCCATCCGGCTGTAAGAGGCATCCTTGTGAACTGGCCGCCCTGCCAGTGATGCTGTCAAGGACACTGCTCCTGATATAACACACTGTTCTCTTAAGAGCAGCCCCGGGAAACAGTCCAATCTGATCTCAGCTCAGTGAACAGTTTTACTTTTGCAGAGTAATGGGTTTGTTTTTTTATCAATGGACACCATGAACTGTAGGACCAATGAGGATGTCAGCTTAGAGATAAATTCATGGCCCAGCTGTAGCAAATGTGAAGGTCATTCCTACATGCACTTTTAGCTTTGTCCCTGTTTCTGTTTTGTCTCCACCCATGTTTTTATTTCTTCATTCTCTGCACTTTTAATTTATGGCATCTTGGAGGGGGGTGGTTTTTTGTTTTGTTTTGTTTTGGGGGCTCCTCTTGTATCCTTAGAAATGGCTATGAACACTTCTGGAAGAAGACATCACTGTCAATGTTTATAATACACTATACACATATACACATATGCTATGTTAGAGGTGGGCTCACAGCATGATGTGGGAACACAAGAGAGCTTATAATTCTGTAAAGAGCATGAGAGAAGACCTTGCATAAGGATCGTGCTTGCTTGAGCTGAATCTTTTGTTTGTTCTTTGTTTTGTTAAGGATGTTGTAGGGTTTATTGATAATGGGACAAGCATTAAACAAAATTAAGTTGCTGCCAAGTACAAGATACTAAGAAAAAAAAAATTCTCACAGAGATTTTTATGTCATTTCATGGGTTCATGGAACATCACAGATATTGTTTACAACCAACTGAGGCTGCTTCCACAAGTTTCCTCTCATCAAGTTTTTTTTTTTTTTTCTGAAAAAAAGAGGATGGGGACAAACAATTCATATCTACATCAGAATTTATGTGCAGAGAAGGAAATTCAGATGGAATATCAAAATAAAATTGGAAAATACTTGATTGCAAAGGGAGGTGATAAATTAAAATATTTACCTACAAGATAATATCTACACAAAATGTTATCAACTGGATTATTCAAATAAAGGAGGACAAACAAGATTTAGGAATTAAAATGATCGAGATCAAAAGTCTCAGTTTGGGGGCGCCTGGGTGGCTCAGTTGGTTAAGCGACTGCCTTCGGCTCAGGTCATGATCCCAGGGTCCTGGGATCGAGTCCCACATCAGGCTCCCTGCTCGGCGGAAGGCCTGCTTCTCCCTCTCCCACTCCCCCTGCTTGTGTTCCTGCTCTCGCTGTCTCTGTCTCTGTCAAATAAATAAATAAAATCTTAAAAAAAAAAAAAAAAGTCTCAGTTTGGAGGGGATATTAAGAATCATTTAGTTCAGTTGCATACCTGTGCAGCAGTATTGCTCCTTAATTCTTCATTCCATGTTGCAGGTAGACCCCCAGCCTTGGACTTTCCCTGGCTGCCTGTGTGAGAACAGGGTGAGAAAAAGAATAGTTGCTGACACATTGTTTTAAGTGTGCTCAATCAGCAGATTATTTTTAAATACACTCAGTTTGAGCTCCTTTTCTTTTCTTAAAAAAGAGCTCTATCGATATAAAAACTCATATTGACCCACTGCATACAGAGGACCTCAAAAAAGAAATGTCAGGATTACATGGATGAAGCATTCCACAATTTACAAAAAGACAGCAATAAACATGTTTACATCCTTTCATTCTTCAGCAGTGCGAAAAATTACAACTGTCTTTCTTCACGTTAGAAAAAGAGAGAAATAGAAAAGGTAAACCAGATAGACTCCATGACCTCTTTCAGTTATCTACAAGGCCTGGCACTTTAAAGGGGATACTATTCTGTCTTTGCATTGGGGAAAATTATTGACTTTTAATTTAGAGGGACTAAAGAGAATGCATTACTCTTTTTGCCCCTCTTCCTATTAGAATTTTTTAAAAGCCTTAGAAGTAAAATTCTCAGGAAATTGCTCACTGCTAAGACAAAAGGCTACTCTGAACTCAGCAGCTAGTCACGCTGACATTTCCTGGAGGAGGGCAGCCCAGGCCCGCAGAAAAGCCACCGCAGCACTAAGCTGGATGCTCCACGAGGGCAGGAACACCTCTGCTTCTTCACAATGTTAGATATTCAGCTCCTGGCTTAAAGTCTGGCACAGTGCATATTCATTTATTCACTCAGTAAATATTTATTGAATAACTACTCTGTGCCAGGCAATGTTCTAGATGCCTGGGATATACCATAAAACAAAACAAAGATTCCTGCCCAAGTGAAATTTTAGTTCAATTGGGATGGGGTACAGAGAGAAGAGACAATAGGTAAATAACAGGTTATGTCAAGAGTGCAGTGGACACAAGAAAAAGTAGAGCAGGTAAAGGGGGGATTGGGAAGTGCTGAGAAGGAACAGTAGATTGCAATTTTGAATAGAGTAGACACTGTGGGTCTCGTTGAGAAGGTGACATTTAAACAAAGCCTTGAGGGAGGTAAAGTGCTCAATAAATATTTGTTGATTATAAGCAGGGAGCCTGCTTCTCCCTCTCCCTCCGCCTGCCGTTCCCCCTGCTTGTGCTCTCTCTCTCTCTGACAAATAAATAAAATCTTTAATAAATAAAGGAATTAAAGCAAAATTAAGAGAGCAGAAAAGTATAAGGCATGTTCAGGGGATGATGAGAAAACAACTTTGAGATGGTAGACTATTAGAGATGAATCTGGGAAGGAGGTAGGAGGCTCACTAAGAAGGGCCCTGGGTGCAAAGCCAAACGATATTGATTTACAAAATTTAGTTTACGAAGAACTCTCTTTTATGGTCTTATTTATCATATCTCCAGCAAAGTTAATTTCATCTCCATTTTACCAGTAAGGAAACTATGCTCAGAGAAGTTTAGTAATTTTCCTGAGATCACATAGCAGAGCCAGATGCAGAGCCAGAACTTAAACCTGACTTCCAACTTCAGGCTGTCCCTACAGCCATGTCACCTCCCCCAAGAAAAAGTACAAAGGTAGTAGAAAGAAAGGAGAGTTCTAAAATACACAGTAAAATACATAAATGATCACATGCCAGTTACCAAAAAACAGAGATAGGATATAAAAATAAAATCTAATGTAAGCTTTTATATTTTTAATTTTTTAATGTAAGTTTTCAAAATTATACACTCTGTAGAGAAACCAATAGATTGTAGGTGCACAACAAAAAATTAAAAGACAGTAAACTAGGGCGCGCCTGGGTGGCTCAGTCAGTTAAGCATCTGTCTTCAGCTCGGGTCATGATCTCAAGGTCCTGGGATCGATTCCCGCATTGGGCTCTCTGCTCAGCGGCGAGTCTGCTTCTCCCTCTCCCGCTGTGATCTCTCTTTCACTCTCTCTCAAATAAATAAATAAAAATCTTAAAAAAAAAAAAAAAAAGACAGTAAACTAAGAACCTGTTTTGAATCGTGCCACTGTGGTTTTAGCAACAGAAAATATGTGACTACAAATCTATTTCTACCTTAGCCTTTCTTTTTACTACAAACTTTCCAGATTGATTTTCTCTTACAAACACAATAATACTTTGTAATTTGCTTTTCATTAATAAAAAGTATTATTTCTCAATTATGTAAAAAATACATGAATACTTTCTTTAAAAAGTTAAAGTCCCTAACCTCAGAGATAAGTAAGCAGTACTACCAGATTGGAGTGTATCCTCCATTTCTTTTTCTATGGATACTTGTCTATCCAAGTGCTTCCTGACTACATGTGAGGGTTAATATGTTTAAAACTGAACTCACCATTTTCCCCTCAGAGCTAACCAGGTCCCCTGATTTCCTGTATCAGTAAATGGCAGCACTAATCAGAAACTGTACATTCCATATTTTATCTGCCCCCCTCACCTATCATATCTGATCATCAATCTATTCCTATAAGTTTACCTCTATAAGGTCTGGTGTTACCAGCCTCTCTTCTCCATTCTCACGTCCACTGCTTTAATACTGGTTCTCCTTACCCACTGATTCTACTACTGCCCAGCCAGGTTCATGGCTGTGTGACCCGTGCGGTCACACAGGGTCTCACACTTAGAAAGGCCACATGCTTGGTTTAATGCTCTGCTAGCACTGTCTTTAAATTATTAATAATTTTTTTAATAAGGGGTCCTATGTTTTTATTTTGCACTGAGCCTCACAAATTATGTAGCCAGCCTTATACTACTATAATAGCATCCTAACTGGTCCCTATTTTCCCAGTAAGGCCCTGCTGCAGCCCACCCTCCACAACTCTGTAGGGAATTAAAAAGAAGATATTCCATTGGAATTAGGTCAAGCAATACATGGCACAGAGGTCTGCCAAATTTGAGGCTGAGAGTCCTGAAGTATGACTTTAAATTGAAAAGGTGAATTAATGAAGAATTAAATTTTGATATAACCCAAGAACTAACCCCATTATCTGTGGATACTTTTTGCATTACAAATACTTAGGGAAAATGGCCAAAGTAAACACAACCCTCTGTGAAGCCAGAGTGGTGTAGGGAAAGACAACAGGCTTTGCATTCAGAAAGACTGAGTTCAAATTCCAAACTTGACCACTTTGGTGGTGGACTTTGGGCAAGTTACTCAAATTCTCAAATTTTTATTTTCCTTTTTTTTTTTTTAAGATTTTATTTATTTGACAGAGAGAGACATAGCGAGAGAGGGAACACAAGCAGGGGGAGTGGGAGAGGGAGAAGCAAGCTTCCCACGGAGCAGGGAGCCCAATGCGGGGCTCAATCCCGGGACCCTGGGATCATGACCTGAGTCTAAGGCAGACGCTTAACGACTGAGCCACCTAGGCGCCCCTCCAATTTTTATTTTCCTATTGATAAAATAGAGAAAATTATCTGGCAGGACTTTTGTGAGACTCAAAAAATAATAGAGACCCAGTTCAGTTCAACAAACAGTTTCTGAATGTCTACTCTGTGCCAATGACATCAAGATGAATAACTTCCTTCTCAAGGATACATTATGGAAAATAGGAGGTGACTGAGGTGAGGAGTAACTTTATAATGAAAAACCTAACAAATGCTACCTCACCAAGTGTGATCAGGTAAACATCGATAGTGATAAGTCAGGTTCATAGTATGTACCTTGGATATGATATAATGAAACTAAGTACTTTAACCCTGTGGTCTTACTCCCCCAAACCCATTGTAGGACCAAACTAAAATGGAGTCACTTATGCCAGGGACAAAATGGAGATGGTCAATGCAGGCATATAAGGGAAACTTAACTTAATCTTACAGGAATTTATAGTTCTTCTCAGAAATCAGCAAGTACATCAGCCAATCCCCAAATGCTAAGTCTGTTCATGCCATCTTTGGACTTACTCATTCCCTACTCAGCTTACCCTAATCCAAACAAGAAAGAAGACCACTAGGCAACCAATCATCTGAAAAAACCACGCAAGTTCCACATTTACCCCATGAAAAATCCCTTGGACTGTGGCAACTTGAAACTCATTACTCCAGTTGCCCTGAGCTCCCCAGCTTGCAGGCAGAAAGCCTTGCAACAAACTCATCTTTCTGTTTTGTTTTATTCAGTGTGCAGTTTGGATTTTGACACTATAAACCCAGTCTCACCATGAGAAAAACATTAGACAAACCCAAATTGAAAAACGGAGTCTACAAAATACCTGGCCAGTGCTCCTTAAAACTGTTAAAGTTATCAAAAATAAGAGGGGCGCCTGAGTGGCTCAGTCATTAAGCATCTGCCTTCGGCTCAGGTCATGACCCCAGGGTCCTGGGATCGAGCCCAGCCCCACATCGGGCTCCCTGCTCTGCGGGAAGCCTGCTTCTCCCTCTTACACTCCCCCTGCTTGTGTTCCCTCTCTCTCTCTGTCAAAAAATAAATAAAATCTTTAAAGAAAATAAGAAAAATAAATTTTAAAAATCTGAGAAACTATAACAGTTAAGGGGAGTCCAAGGAGACATGAGGACTAAAAGTACTATGGTATCCTGGATGGAGTTCTGAACAGAAAAGGGACATTAAGTACAAACTAAGGAAATTCAAATGGGCCTTAGTTACTAATAATGTATCAGTATTGGTTCATTAGTTGTAACTACTGTTATCATTTGAACACGTTGAAAATAGGGAAAACTGGATGCCAGCTATAAAGGAATTCGCTGTACTATCCTTGCAACTTTTCTAATCTTAAACCATTCTAAAATAAAAAGGGTATTTAAAAAAATAAAAACTGGGGGTGCCTGGGTGGCTCAGTCGCTTAAGCATCTGACTTCGGCTGATGTACTTGCTCAGCCTACTCCCTCTGCTTCTCCCTCTCCCCTGACCCTCCCCCCTGCTCATGCTCTCACTCACTTTCTCTCTCTCAAATGAATAAATTTAAAAAAATAAATAAATAAAAAATAGGGTGCCTGGGTGGCTCTGTCAGTTAAGCATCTGCCTTCAGTTCAGGTCATGATACTCAAGGACCTGGGATCAAGCCCCTCATTGGG